CAGGGGTTGGCCCCCCCCTGACGCGGCGTCTCCTTGCTGTTTTGCAGCTAAGAAAGCGGCGGACGGCTCAGTCATAGCAAACGGTTATTGTGATTTCTGTCTAGGCGGCTCGAAGAAAACCGGCTGCCCCGAGGATCTCATCTCGTGCGCCGACTGCGGCCGCTCCGGTACCGGGGGAGCGGGATTTGGGGCTGGGGGAGCGATGTGGGGGTGGTGGGAGGGGATGCATGCATGTGTGTGCAAACTTGTGCAGGCATGTATGTGCAAACATGTGCACCTTCCTATACACTGGTGCATGCACATTCGTGCAAACTTGTGCATGCACGTGCACCTTCCTGCACACTTGTGCAAGCTCACCGGGGACCGCGGTGGGGGTTCTGAGGAGCTGCCCCCCCCGCGCACGTGGGGGTGACCGCTTTGCCCCCCGCCCCGTGCAGGGCGCCCGTCGTGCCTGCAGTTCACGGTGAACATGACGGCGGCCGTGCGCACCTACCGCTGGCAGTGCATCGAGTGCAAGTCGTGCAGCCTGTGCGGCACCTCCGAGAATGACGTGAGCCCCCTGAAACACCCCCCTTTTAGCGCAAAAAAAAAACCCTGCAAAATATTATATATATTGCAACCTCTTTTGAATTGCACCCTCCCATTTTTTAATTGCAATGCCCCATTTTTATTGCAATCCCCCCTTTTTTTTAATTTCAACACTGCATTTTAATTGCACCCTGTTTCTATTGCAAAAAAACTTTTATTGCAAAAAAGCTTTTTTATTCCAACCTTCTGCTTTTTATTGCAAAAAATAATTTTATTGCACCCTGTTTCTAATTGCACCCCCCCGTTTTTATTTGCACCCTCTCTTGTGAAAAAACTAATTATTGAAAAAATTTATTGCAGTTCCCCTTCTTAATGCAACCTCTTTATCGTATCTCCTTTTATTGCAAAAGAAATGCCCCCAAAAATTAAATTCCCCCCCCTTTTTATTGCAAATCATCCTCTTTATTCAACTCCCCCTTTTGAATTACCCTCCCATTTTAATTGCAACCTCCCACTTTTATTGCATCCTGCCTATTGCAAATCTCCCTTTTATTGTCCCCTTTATAACGCAAAGACACGTTTAATTGCCCCCCCTCCTTTTTATTGCAGAAAATTCCTTGTGTTGCACCTCCCCTTTCAGATTGCACCCCC